AAAAAATTCAGGATTGGACACCCCCAAATCTTTGGGATCAAACCCTAAAATCTTTAGAATTAAAACCCCAAAATCCTCGGGATTGGAACCCAAAATCTTTGGGATCAGAGCCTGAAACTTTCTGGGATTGGAGCCCCAAACCCTCAGGATTATCCCGGAATTTTTTAGGGTTGGGACCCCCAACATTTGGGGGATCAGAGCCCCAAGTTTTGGGATCAGAATCCCAGATTTTGGAAGCTCAGATTCAATTCCTGAAAAGTCAGGGATTTCAGGGATCTTTAACCCCTTTTTTTGGGAATTCCAACCCCCCCAGAATGAATCCCAAGGAGATTTTTTCCTTCCCAGGTGAGAAAATCGGGATGAAATCATTCCCAGATTTGACAAAACATTAAAATTCCAAATTTCTGCTCCGTTATCCCTGAAAATCCCCCAAAAACCGGGAACAGGGAGGGGGATGGGATCCAAGGACATCCCAAAGTTTCCATCCCAAAAATCTGCCCAAAACTCCGGAATTTCCACCCCCCTCCCCCCTCTGGAGCTGCTCCAGAACCAGCAGAAGCCAAAACCTCGGGAATTCTGCCCAAAAACCTCGGGAATTCTGCCCAAAAACCTCGGGAATTCTGCCCAAAAACCTCGGGAATTCTGCCCTAAAACCTCGGGAACTCTGCTCCAAAAACCTCGGGAATTCTGCCCTAAAACCTCGGGAATTCTGCCCTAAAACCTCGGGAATTCTGCCCAAAAACCTCGGGAATTCTGCCCNCGGCTCCATCTGCTCCTGGCTGGGAGCGAATCCCGCCCCCGGAATTCCGGCTGAGCACCAAAAACCCCTCGGAAAAGTGGGAAAAATCCCCAAAATCTGGGAATTCTGGGGGATTTGAGGGGGGTTCTGGGAATTTTAGGGAGGCTTTTGGGAATTTTAGGGGATTTGGGGGGGGTGTTAATGGGACAGGATTTTAACGGAATTTTAATTGGATTTAGCAGGGTTTTGATGGAATTTTATTGGGATTTGGCAGGACTTTAATGAGATTTTAAAGGGGATTCGATCAGGATTTTGCAGGAATTTAATGGGATTGGACAAAATTTTAATGGTGCTTGAGAAAATTTTACTGGGATTTTAATGGGATTATTTTAGTGGCATTTCAATGGGATTTGCCAAGATTTCAGTGGGATTTCAATGGAGTTGGACAGAGCTTTAGTGAGATTTTAATGGGATTATTTTAGGGGGATTTGCCAAGATTTTAATGGAACTGGGTACAATTTTAATGGATTTAATGGGATTTTCATGAGATTTAATGGGATTTTAATGGGATTTACTGAGATTTTAATGGGATTGGGTAGGATTTCAATGGGATTTAATGGGATTTAATGAAATTTTAATGGGATTGGATAGGATTGGATAGGATTTTAATGGGATTTAATGGGATTTACTGGGATTTTAACGGGATTTACTGGTATTTTAATAGGATTGAATAGGATTTTAATGGGATTTTAATGGAATTGGGTAGGATTTTAACGGGATTTTAATGGGATTTTAATGGGATTTTAACGGGATTTTAACAGGATCTGCCAAGATTTCAGCGGGATTTTTTGGAGATGTCACCAGCGTTCGGCAGAATTCCAGCAGGAATTTCGAGGGCTCCCACCCCCCCGGCCCCCGGAATTCCCGGAATTCCCGGGATTCCCGGGATTCCCGGCGCTCACCCTGCGGATCAGCTTTCCTGAAGGCGTTCCCGGCATCCACCAGGTTGGTGGCGGCGTCGTGTTTGCTCTGGAGCTGCAGCTGCAGCTGAGCCGCGCGGGAGAAGGCGGCGCCGGCCTCTGGAAAACACCGGGAAAACACCGGGAAAATGTGGGAATGACACCGGGAATTCATGGGAGAAGGCGGCCCCGGCCTCTGGAAAACACCGGGAAAACACCGGGAATGGCACCGGGAAAATGTGGGAATGACACCGGGAAAATGTGGGAATAACACCGGGAAAATGTGGGAATGAATAACACCGGGATAAACACCGGGAATGACACCGGGAAAATGTGGGAACGACACCGCGAAAATGTGGGAATGACAGCGGGAAAATGTGGGAATGACAGCGGGAATTCATGGGAGAAGGCGGCCCCGGCCTCTGGAAAACACCGGGAAAACACCGGGAATGACAGCGGGAATGACACCGGGAAAATGTGGGAATAACTCCGGGAAAATGTGGGAATAACTCCGGGAAAATGTGGGAATGACAGCGGGATAAACACCGGGAACAACAGCGGGAATAACGGGGGATAAACACCGGGAAAAACACCGGGAAAAACACGGGGAAAAACACCGGGAATTCACGGGAGAAGGCGGCCCCGGCCTCTGGAAAACACCGGGAAAACACCGGGAATGGCACCGGGAAAATGTGGGAATGACACCGGGAATTCGTGGGAATAACTCCGGGATAAACACCGGGAATAACAGCGGGAATAACGGGGGATAAACACCGGGAAAAACACCGGGAAAAACACCGGGAATTCACGGGAGAAGGCGGCCCCGGCCTCTGGAAAACACCGGGAAAACACCGGGATAAATATGGGATAAACACCGGGAATTCATGGGAATAACACCGAGATAAACCCCGGGAATTCATGGGATAAACACCGGCATAAACACCGGGAAAAACCCGGGAATTCAGGGGAATAATCCCGGGAATTCACAGCAGAACGCAGCCCCGGCCTCTGGGAAAAGCAGGACAGGGTCGGGAATGGATCCGGAATTCCCGAAATTCCCGGAATTCCCGGAATTCCCGGAATTCCCGGACTCACGGCTCCAGTTCTTGGCCATTTTGAACATGTTGGCGGCGCGGGTGTAGCACTCGCAGGCCTCCTCCAGCCGGGAAGAGCCCCTGGAAAAAACGGGAATTCCGGGAATTCCGGGAATTCCGGGAGGGAAAAGGGGGAGCTGGGGGGGGGAAAACGGGGATTGGGGGGAGGAAATGGGAATGAGGGGGGAAAATGGGAATTGGGGTGGAAAAAGAGGGAATTAGAGTGGGATAATGGGAATAGGAGTGGGAAAATGGGGGATTGGGATGGGGGAATAGGGATTGGGGCAGGGAAATGGAGGAATTCAGATGGGAAAAGTGGGAATTGGGGGAATTCCGGGTGCCCCCTCAAGAAAATTCCCCAATTCCCCCTCAGGACCCCCCAGTTCCCCTCTCGCTCCCTTTTCCCCCTCACAACTGCCCCAATTCCCAACCTTTCCCTTTTTCCCCCTCACAACTCCCCCAATTCCCAACCTTTCCCCTTTTTCCCCCTCACAACTGCCCCAATTCCCAACCTTTCCCCTTTTTCCCCCTCACAACTCCCTCAATTCCCAACCTTTCCCCTTTTTTTCCCTCACAACTCCCCCAATTCCCAACCTTTCCCCTTTTTTTCCCTCACAACTCCCCCAATTCCCAACCTTTCCCCTTTTTTCCCTCATAACTTTTCCAATTCCCCTCCCTCTCTGCTTTTCCCCCTCACAACTGCCCCAATTCCCAACCTTTCCCCTTTTTTTCCCTCACAACTCTTTCAATTCTCTCCTCTCGCTCCTTTTTCCCCTCACAACTTCCCCAACTCCTCTCCTCCTTCCATTTCCCCCTCACAATTCCCTCAATTCCCAACCTTTCCACTTTTCTCCCTCACAACTCCCCCAGTTCCACTCCCTCTCTCCTTTTCCCCCTCACAACTGCCCCAATTCCCAACTTTTCCACTTTTCCCCCTCACAACTGCCCCAATTCCCAACTTTTCCACTTTTCCCCCTCACAACTCACCAAATTCCCTTCCCTCTCCCCTTTTCTCCCTCACAACTCCCCCAGTTCCCCTCCCTCTTTCCTCTTCTCCGTCACAACTGCCCCAATTCTCCTGCTCCTCCCTTTTCCACCTCACAACTCCCCCAATTCCCGCCCTTTCCCCCCTCCCGGCCGCCATGACTCCCTCTCCCCGCCCTCCCCTCAGGCCCCGCACGCACCCAAAGAGGCCCCCGAGGAAGGACTGAGCCCCCCGGACCTTCTTGTCCGCCTCGGCCAGCAGCCGCTGCGCCTCCGCCTCTTTCCCCGCCGCCGCCATGACGGCCCCGCCGCCGGCCCGGTCACGTGACGGGGAGCGCGCCCCGGAAGCGGCGGCTCCGCCGCGGCGCCCCCTGGCGGGCGGGAGGACTGAGCCGAGCGGCCTGGGGGCGTGGTTTATGCAAACGAGGAAGCGCGACGTGGCTGTTGATAGGCCGCGTTTGCGGGCGTGGTTTGTGCTAATTAACAACTCGTGGGGGGGCGGTGTATGTAAATTAGGGGTGCAGGTTGTCTCTGTGTTGGGGTGGGGCGTGGTTTATGCAAACGAAAGTCTCAGGGTTGGCGCTGGGGCTCGGGGAGTGGTTTCTGCTAATTTACAGCCCGCTGGGCCTGGTTTATGCTAACGTGCAGTTATGTGGGCGTGATTTAGGCTGATTTATAGCTGTGGGCGTGGTTTATGTGACCGCACAGCCTTGTGGGCGTGGTTTATGCTAATGAGCGGTCCCTCGGGGGGGGCTTGGCTGCTGAGGCGCCAGCGCGGGGGCGTGTCTATTCTAATGCCTGTCCGGGGGCGCGGTTTATGCTAATGAATTCCTCTCCGTACTTTTCTGGGGGGGGCCCGCGGGGCCGGGGGGGGTCCCGTTAAACTCCCCGGTACGCCCCCGTCCCCTCCGCGACCCCCCCGGGCCCCGCGGCGTCCCCGCCGGGAAGCGGCGGCGATGAGGCCGCGATCAGGCAGCGCCGCGAACCCCTAAGCGGCGGGGCCCGGCGGGGTCCTGGCGGCGGCGCCCGTGCGGGGGCGCCTGGGAGACCCCGCGCCGGGCGCCGCTCAGGCCTCACGGTGAGTCCGCCACAAAAAAAGCGGCGAATCGGCCCCAAATCGCGGCCCTGTCGCGACAGCGGCGGCGACAGCGCGGCCGCGCTGCCCCCCCGCCGCCGGGAAACCCCCCCGGGCCCCGCCGCGCCCCCCCCGCCGCCGGGAACCCCCCCCGGCCCCGCCGCGGCCCCTCCCCCCCCGCTCCGAGCGGCCCCGAACGGGCCCAAAACTGAGGGGGGCGGGGGGGGGCGCGGGGTGGGGCCTTCGGCCTCGGCCGCCGCCTCCTCCTCCTCCTCCTCCTCCTCTTCCCGCTGCTGCCGCGCTCTTCCTCATCTTCCTCTTCCTCATCTTCCTTTTCCTCCTCTGCCTCTTCCTCGTCTTCCTCCTCTGCCTCTTCCTGCTCTTCCTCATCTTCCTCCTTCTCCTGCTCTTCCTCCTCCTCCCGCTGCTGCCGCGGCTCTTCCTCCTCTTCCTCATCTTCCTCTTCTTCCTCTGCCTCCTGCTGCTCTTCCTCCTCTTCCTCCTCCTCTTCCTCCCGCTCTTCCTCAGGGCTCAGCCCCGGGCTGGTTCTGTGCCTTCATCTTCCTCCTCTTCCTCGGGAGCTGCTTTGGGGATGTCCCAGCTCTGGCTCTGTGTGTGTGGCCTTCCTCCTCTTCTTCCTCCTCCTCCTCCTCTTTTCCTCTTCATCCTCCTCATTTCCTTCTCCTCTTCATCTTCGTTTTCCTCTTCTTCCTCTTCATCTTCCTCTTCCCCCTCATCCTCAGGGGTTCAGTTCTGGGGCTGCTCTCGGCCTGTCCCCCTCTTCCTC